ACTTTTCGTACACGTTTTAGAGGGAAAATGTGCTTAGACTCATGAATGTATGTATACTTTATATGTGAGTGCGACTGCAGCCACACAGCTTGCATTCTAAAATTTTACCTCAAGGGCTGCACTGCCTGCTGCTGATTGCTATGTTTTATGTGCCTTTGCAAGCGGCTAATGCTAAGCACACATTTTTCTCCAAGTCTTATATTTTTATAAAACAAGCGCTGTCTACACAAATTACAATTTCAAATCAAGTACTAATAATAAATAAAATAATCTAGACTAGTTTTTTTTTTCTTGAATAAAAGAAGAAATATCGTGGGCTACATAACTTTTTCTTTTGAAAATCTTAAGTTTTGCTGATTTCTTTGTAGTTCAATGCTGATCAAACTTTTTGAATAAAATTAATAAAGCTTTTTATCGTATTATATTTTATTACATCAAAGATTATCATCATTTTTTGACAAAATATATAAATTTCCATACTCTCTCATACTTTTGTATGAAAATTGGAAAAAAAAATCAACGATCAACAAAACTGAACGCATCAAATTATATAAAAAAGAAATGTATAAAAAATTTTCTGAAACTCACAATTAATCATGCACGTAGACAATCGGAGCAGTGATATTCGTCAAATCTGCCCTTGATATCGTTTCAATGGATCAATTTATTTTCAAGGCTATAAGCCGCCAGTCATGAAGTCTCAGCTACCCCTGGGCAACGAAGCGCGCGAGAAAGAGGAAGAAGAAAAAAAAAGGCACGAAGGAAAGTCATCGGCAACTGCCGCGCGCACCGAGCTGAGTTGACCAGACGATAGCGCGTACGTATGTATGTATAGCAGGCCAGCAACAAAGAAAAACGTGTGTGTGTGCGGGTGTGCGCGGAGCCGCGCGCGAGCGACTATACGCCAGCGTCGGAAACGAATTGGCTTTGACACAAATTACCTCTTTAACGTGGGTTAAAGCTCTCAATACGGTTCGATCTCATACAGTCGCTCGCCGTGGCGCAAGAAAGATGGAGTGGACCCTGGGGAAGGAGCCGAGCGGCAAAGAAACGTCCGGCGAAAAGTGTACAGTACATACAAGAGAGAGAGAGAGAGAGCGCGCGCGCTGACAAATAGACGTACGTGGTCCTCCTCGTTGTCCACGTCGACGTCTTATAGCCGTTACTGCACTTCCTTATGTATTTGGACGCTGCCACCGCCAACATCGTTGTGCCTCGAGACTATGTATGTATATCAGAGGCCGGCCAAAATAAAAGCTTCCTGTGACCATGCAGAAATTTGTGCTGTGCGAGCTCGACCGACGAACGATAAATTTTCGCCTATCTACTTTTGACTTTTTATGATCGCGTTAAAGTGTTATGAGCGTGAAAGAAAGTTGAACATTTTTCACCCCCCGCCATTCCCTCTTAAAATGTACCTACAGTGAGAAGAAAATAAAGTTCGACATTTTATGCACTTACAATCATATATGTAAAAGAAAAGTCTCCGTACACGCAGTTGAAATATAAGAAACAAGGCAATGCAGTGTCATATCACTATACAAGATAGTTATTTTTCTTCCTCTTTCGGAGTGAAATTTTGTTTTCCATACGAATCTTTACTTCTGTGCTACAATAATTTCTTATTCCGTACAACTTCTAGAAAAACACGTGTAGTTATAGTCCAAGAGAAGTCCTTACATACTTTGCCTCGCGCGAAAAAGGATCTCTCGTCTATGTTGTAGACGCGTACTCGAGCCAGCTGTGAGTCCACCTCACAATGGAAAATAATACTTTTATAATTGAAATTAATTGCTGAGCTCTTTCCTTTCATGAATCATCATGTGCGCAAGACGGTTCAGTCGAGGCAGTTTTTTCCATGTTAAAGAACTCAACGAAAGAAATTAAAAATATTTTGAGACTAATTGAAGGCAGTCATACGCGTGAATGTTAAAATTATTTATATTTTTGTTCAACCCTTACTCGAACCTTGAAATATGCTGGAGCAGGAACTTTGTGCTCATTCATCGAATACCGAAAAGAAAAACTTTGCTATCGACTTATTCACGTTTTGACGCGCGTCTGAGCTTTGAAACTAGTCGCGCATAAAAATTCGACAAGCCCGAGCTTTCATCGAATATTTTTTTTTTTTACGAAACTGCTGCTACTGAAGCATGTGCACCCCTGCATATACAGAGTATATCTCAAAGGCTACAGCATGTGTGCATTGCACGAGTTTCTTCAAATGCCCTAACGTCTTTGAAAATCTGATTTTCGTTTTCCTGACGCACACCGCCGGCTTAGCTATACGCGCCTCTCCATATACATCCATAATCGCCCGAAACACATACGCTCGCGCGACAGCAAAACCGCGTAAAGTGGAGCTTATCAGCCGCAAGTTCTTTCTTTAATAGAATAGGTGCGAGCATATACGCGTCGTTTTCGCTCGCGAGCATGTGGCATCTTGCTTTCCCTTCCACACCCACAACGGCATGCTCTCTCTCTCTCTTTTTTTTTCTGCTTTAAACCCTCTTTTTCTGTTCCATCACCTTTTGCGCTGTACAGGGTAAAGAAGGAGGTAAGTTTCTACCGACAAAAAGAGCGGTGGCAACGGTAGCACCAGTGGCAAGCTATATGGATAAGAGAGTGAGGTAGCAGCAGCAGCAGCAGATATAGTATATGCTACGTTTGCCTCACTCCCTCGACCGCGTTTTGCGTCATTCGAATTGCAAATAGCGGGAATGTTTGCACGTTGTTGTCACCGCATCGAGATCGCGTGTGCCGTAATACGTATATACATACAAAATTCGCAGTGGCTTCAAAGGGGGCTTTTGCCTGTGCAGGAGAGAAGAGAGAGAGAGAGAGAGACGTACGACTCCTCGAGAGGAAATGGAGAGGAACCGAGTCGAGTCTCACAGATAAAGATGAATAAAAATAGGCGAACGAGTATGAGAGAGCGAGCAGAACAGAGCAGAGCGACCAGAGAGATAGCTGCTGCTGCTGCCGCTGCTGCTAGGGTTGCAGGATGGAGACGACGCTTCCTGCCTGGGGAACATTAGCGCCCTCGATACTCTCTCTCTCTCTCTCTCTCTCCTACTCTCTCCTCTTTCCCTCATTCTCTCTCTCTCTCTTTAGCTGGCTTCCTCGTTTTTCTTTGCTTTGATGCCCGCGCACCACGTTCTATTCTTGCAACAGCTATACACAGCGTAGAACTGTACGTCTATTTTGTGGCATTTTTTACTCACTCTTCTTCTTATTCTTTCTTCTACTGTTTACATGTTTGTGATACGTACAGCTCGAAATTTTTTCGATCCAAATTTTTCTTACCTTTTCTTTTTCTGGTAAAAATCTATTATTCTTCACTGAAGAATAAAAATCCTCTCTTACATCAAGTTTAGATAAAATAACTCTTTACTACGCTATATTTACATTTAGAGCTGTTATAGAGGTTTCACGCATGAATTCAATTTAAGCGACCTTTACTTACCCTGTAAAGTCAATTTTGACAGCGAAACCTATAATGAAGTATTTTTGCTTGCAAAGATTGTTCTTTCCAGTAATACTGTGTTTCCTATCCTATTTACTACTTAGCAGCAACATTTTATTGATGTGCAAATAAAAAAAAAAATATTCTTCCACGATAGAAAAATGTGAAGCAGAAAACAGCATAACAATGATAACTCGCAACATATAAAAAAATAATGCAGGGACACAAATCGGCCCTTTTCTTGCGTGACTCGTGTAGGCGTATGCCACACATGACATGCTCTGCCAGCTCAACCAATCAGACTTAGTCTATATTTTAAATACCATGTATACGCGTATGAGTATAAGTGTACGCTTGATCACGTGGCTTTTCTTTCTTTCTCAATACGTATGTATATGCGTATATATACACATAGCTCACGATCTCTAAATACCGATTCGCGTGTGTAGAGCCCATTGCCACAAGCCGGTACTCTTGTTTGCAAGCGCAAAAGTTATAACACTGCCCCTACAAAATAATTTTTCAAGGTAAATTTTTCTCTCTGCCCCCGAATAGATATTAATATGGTCAAAAATTGTGTGGTCTTATACTTTCAGCATGTGTTGATAAATATTCTTTAATAAGTACTACAGTCACGATATGGGTATAATTTCGTTTATTCGTTGGCTTGATAGTTCTTGATAGTAAATCGAATGTTCTTGTTATAAATGCATAAAAATAAAATAAATAAATGAATGAAGAATGATACTAAAGTAAATAAAAACTACTTTTTGTATCAGTGAAATCTTATGATTCAATTGTATTTTCAAACGAAATCGATAGAATAAAATATTTCATTTATGTTCACGTAAAATGTATACTTAGATTTACTGAAAAGTATTATATTACCATTATTTTTTTCGAACATTAATAAAACAATTTTTAAATAAAATCTGAACTTTGTCAATACTAATTGAATCACTTACGATAATTTTTAAGTATTGAATTGTTTACTACATTTTTCAATCTGATCCACGTGTCCATGGAGATATTTTCAATAAAAATTGGGTTTATCGTGAACGTATCAAAATCGCATTAAATTTTTAATTAAACAAAAATCAATGGTATGCGAAAAATCATCAGAGTCATGCAAACACAGCTGAGGATAACGTAATGGCATAAAAATGTCATCGATTGTTTTCAAAAAAACTGATAGTATAATTAAAGATGAAGATAATTTTACTTTCATTTATTCATCAAGTGAAGAAGACGAATCATTCTCAATCGTCTTGTGCATTTTCAATTGCAGCTTTAATATGAAGTTAATTCTCTTACTCAGTACTTTCATATTATGTGGTGTAAGTGCCAATGTCAAAACTTTGAAAAAAACTGGTTTTGATTTTCCTTTTTAAGTTTTATTTCAAATATTTCTATTCTTTACTTTCTTGTTGTTGTAAAGGTTGCCAATGGAGGTTTTATTGGCGATAGAATAGAAAGCTTCAAAAAATACGCCGATGAACTAACCGTTAACGCGACCCAAGCTATAAAGGGACAAATTGAGGCGGCAAAGAATCGAGCAGAGAAAATAGCAGTTATAGTTAAAAATTTTGCAGATTTTATTATAAATAATGTAAATGGAAATGTGAACGAAATTCGTAATTGGGTATGTACAATACGTTTATAATACTTATGTAAAAAAGCGATTTAATCAGTCAATAATTAACAATTAAAGGTCAAAGAACAATTAAAAGTACTCGCTGATGAAGCAAAGACGAATAATATCGATGTGTCAGATTGCATGCAATTGGCTAACAGTGTTAGATATGCCGGTGTGGCCGTGCTGAGCAGTTCGAACAAATGCATCGATGATAAAATTGAGACTAGTCAAAAATTGGTAAAAGAGATTGAGAATAAAACTGTAACTGCAAGCCAAGCAGTCAACCAATTTGCCGAAGATACTGCTCAATGTTTGAACGAAGTAAATAATGTTGTGGGATTACTTGGTGCTGCTGGTTGCACGATTAGCGTAAGTAGAAAGCGAGTTATTTAAAATGTCCATCTTTTCAAAATTGTTAATAATTACGTTCAAATTTTTTTAAATGTGTAGTCAAAAATCAGGAATGACATTGTTGTGCTGACACAAATACCTATCATAGCAGTAGACATTATGCAAATGGTGGAAATGGCAACCACATTACCAAATACTATGGGCATTTGCATGTCAACTAACGCTGTGCTAACATTGGAAAAACAAGCTAGAGACATTTTAGCGAAAGTGACCCAGTGTGTGAAGGACAGAATTTTTTCCGCAAAGAAAACTACCCCTTCCACCACTACTAACGTAGTAGAATACAGTGGTGTAACAAAAGAAATTACTACTACTTCTATAATACAATCTAGTAATTCAACTGATCAAATCAATGATAAACTAGATACTGAAACAGTTAAAATTGATTTCATTCCTGAAACCACAACAAGACAACCAAGTTTTTTTGAACAAATTAAGTTATTTTTCGGTTAAATTAAAGTTAATCATGAATGTAAGCAGAAATTAATTGTGATGCTCAACCTATAGATAAATAATATCATGGTCATTATTCATAGCTCATTGTTCTTGCAAAAGAGTAATAAGATAGGTAAAGTTATAACTAGATTGATTGTAAATAAAAGTCAATTTTTTATAATAAAATAAATTTGTAATTTTTCAAATAATAAAAATTGAACAATATTCAATCTTATAATAAAAAATAAAAAATGCATGTGAAATTATTGGAATAAAATATTATGAAATAGGAAGTCATAGCATAAAATAGGCGATACCAAGCTCTCATAAGTGTAAACACACGCACCTGTGTTTTACGTTACTATCGTAATAAATTAATTGTCAAACGCTTTCTTGGTGTATCGATAATATTTGAGGTAAGGGAATTCATAAGTCGCCTGATTCTCTTGCAGTATTCGTAGTCAAGTTTTTATTCATGACAAAATTAAAAACTATCATATTTTTGATTGTTTTAAATCAGGTTAGTTGTTTTAATTAGTTCAAAAAGTTTTTCTGATAGTCATAACAGTACAGTTAATTTCATTCTTTTGCTAAAATTTAAAAAAAATGGTATTAAAATTATAGGAAATTCTTTTTTCAGATTGTTAGTGGGAATATTATTCCGAGTGAACGTGATAATGTTAATATTGAAAATTTTGTTTCTGTTGGGTGGGAAAGCACAGAAAATTCAAACAACTGGATTTTCGATCAATTTCGACATGTAGCAGATGATATTGCTACGAATGCTGCTAAATTTGTGAGAGAAAATATTTTAAATGTAAAAGCAAGGGCTGATGAGCTAATAAATCAAATAAAAAATATCGGTTTTTTGGGATTACTTGCAGCTCAAGAAGCATCCAAATGCATTCATGAACAAGTACTAATATAATTCATCAAACTTATATTCAACAGCTTAAAATTATTCTTGAAACATTTATTTATTTATTTATTTTTATAGTTTGAAAATCAATTAAAAACTTTAGCAGCGCGAGCTGAAGCAAGTGACATCGATGTTAAAGATTGTACGAAAGTCATGTATACTTTTAGAAGCGCAGTAGCTAATTTAATCAGCAATTCTAGTTTGTGCATAACAGAAAAATTGGATAAAGCGACATATCTTTTTATGGACGTTACGAAAAAAAGTGATTTTGCTCTTAATGCAGTAAGTAATTTTTCGATAGAAACTGCAAAATGCATGCAAAGCGTTCAAAATGCTGTTGGAATGTTTTCTGCTGCTAGGTGTACTCTTGATGTGAGTTTTGAAATCATTTAAAATGGTTAATTTAAATTTTAAATTTCGATTGCATTTAATTTCAGGCGAAAATCCAAGAAGGATTCAAGATTCTTCGACAGTTGCCAGGAATAGCAGTTGATACAGTTGAAATAATAGATTTACTTGCTACTCTGCCAGATACTCTACCACTATGTATGACGAAACAAACTTTCAAATCAATCGAAGAAGAATCAAATAATGTTATTGATAGCGTTCAAACTTGCATAAATGAAAAACTTAAAAACTAATTACAATTGATAATTTCAGCAACAAAGTAAATAAATTTCAATCACGGTGTACTAATTCATATGTTTACAAATGGTTCGAGGTAAAAATTGAAAAATTAATTCTTTTAACATTGTCTCGATCGCTGCTATACCGCGAACAGACACGACAATACTCATGGCTGTCAGTCATATGTTAAATCACCGACTGATCGATCTAAATCCACGTGATAATAGTGACGTTATACGAAGTGGTAATCTCGCGCGTACTCAAGACAGATAAATGGATTCGCACAAGCGAGGGGACAGAATCGCGTCTCGTTTCAAAGAACAACGACGAGAAAAACGCTGAGATGTATACTCACGCGCGTATTTGGCTCACGCGTGTACATTGTAATAACTCGCAAATATTTAGTTCATTTCTACAATTTTGTTGACTCCTAATTTTATGGGCGTATGACTTATGAGTTCTGTTCAATTAAATACACCAAACGAGGCGAGATGAAATGAAATAAAATATTAACTTCATTAAACCCTTCATGTTATACCCCGTTCAAAATTCAATTAACGATAAGAATTAGACTCACTTCAAATTAAAAAACTCCTCATGTTTCGATCACCTGAATTAAAAAAACATTTCTCTACTCGATTGATAGTCTTCGTAGTTTTAAGCATTGTCAATACACGTGGTTTCTTAGAGAATCGACAAGTCGATAACAAAATATAATTAAAAACAAAATTTGCTCTTGTTGTACGAGTGTAGGCCATATTGATTTTTGACGATCGATCGCGTTAAAATAATCGATAATTGTCAAAGAGTCAAACACGTGTGTAAACATATCGTTCAATTAATGAACTTGTGTAACGTAATACCTGACTTTACATTCGCCGTGTAAATAAAACGAATAATGCACAAACTGAATGCGACGCAACCAAGCTGATGACGTAGCAATTGAATATTCAATAATACACCCATATATAAAGGTAAAATTACTCTCGGTCACAATTGGAAAGCTTGCAGTAACAATAAAAGGAATATCTTCTTGCTAATTAATTTCTTAGCTGCTTAATATTCAAGCTTGGTGCAATCAGAAGATCAAGACGGTATAAACAAGTGTACGCTAACGATCAGCGAATTTGTATTGTAAGCCGTGCGGCAAATATATGATTTCCCGTAGTTTGCGGCAGAAAACTTATGCTAATAACGGAACGAATTCAGCCTGCGAGTACAAGAGCCAAGCTTGTCTCTCTTTCTCTCTCTCTCTCTCTCGGCCGTCTCCGAAGATACGACGTCGTTAGAAGGGCGCCCACTGTCAAGCAGCTTCACTTGCTTGCGAGTCTCTAAGCGTGTATTAGCGTGTGTGCCGCGAACCGCCCCCGGAAATGTGCGACTTGCCGCACGGCTCGCTTACCTGCTGCACGTCTAGCACTGGTAGCGCTACACAACTCCGAGTAACCGAAATGACAGCTTCGACGATGAAAAATTGACGCTGGCTTGTCTAATGTGCTATGTGTGGACGAGTAGAGCTGCTTCTGATGCTGCTGTTGTTGAAAATAAAAAATGCCGATGCCGCATTGGCTTACATAATTTCACGTTTATATTTATAAAAGGCTGCGGCATCTGATGTAGGCTTGTAATAATATCGTTCCGTCCATCCTTGCTGTTATATCGAATGATAAATTGATAAAACTCAAACGAGTTATTATGTTTTTCGATGCTGATACCGAAAGACATAGCGTTTATTTCTGTGAATCTAGTCTATCATTTTCATTAACTCTTACGCAGGTTTCACAGAGGGTACTTGGAAATAAGTATTTATATTTTTTGCCAAAAATTATACTTCGCTTGAATTTGGAGTAAAAAGCATGTCGAAGAGCGTGAGTTACGCTAAACTTAGCGAGTTTGACACAGAGCTGCCAAACATGTTCTTGACTCGGATGCTGAGGAATTTCCAAGGCCGAGAATATATGACCGATTCTCTGTGAAGTCGAATGGACAAAAAAAATTTCTCTCTGCAAATAAGGAAATCTTATTGTTTTTGATGTCAGATTTGTACCAAAAAAATTTTAGAAAAATTGGGGCCTTCTAAGACACTTTTTCAGAGGCCCAAAGTTAGCCTTTTTAGCGTTTTTCCAAAATTCATGAAAAATCGCAAATATTCAAATAATTCCTGGATCAGTGTAGAATGATTCAAAAGTAAAAGTGCCCAGCAACTTTTTTGTTGGAAATTGTCCAAATTTTCAGAAAAAATCATTCCAAAGTGAGTGAAGCAACCTGTGGGGTTATTAAACAGAAACAACTTGAAAAAAACAAAAAACAAGAAATCTAATCGAGTTCTAACCTGACTTTTTTTTCTAAAACTATGTAAAAAGCTTCCTAAAGATGTCAAGTACTACCTGATAAAGTTTTGCAATGGGTTTTAAAGTTTAACGCAATGCAGACAACAATAAGTGTTGAAAAATGTGCAAAAAAGGTGGAAAACCTCACAGGTTCCTCCACTCACTTTGGAATGATTTTTTTCTGAAAGTTTGGACAATTTTCAACAAAAAAGCTCCTGGGCACTTTTACCTTTGAATTATTTCTACATTGATCCAGGAATTATTTAAATATTTGCGATTTTTTATGAATTTCGGAAAAACACTAAAATGGCAAACTGTGGGCCTTTGAAAAAGTGTCATAGAAGGCCCCAATTTTTCTAAAATTGTTTTGAGAAAAATCTGACATCGAAAACAACAAGTTTTTCATATTTGCAGAAATAGTAGTTTTCGATACAAGGGCCATTTTTTTTGTTTTTTTTTTTTTCTTTAATGTAGCGATGGGCTCAGTTTATTAAATCAAATGTATTTCGGTACATTTTTGAGTTTCCGTTATTACATATTTTATGTAAGGTGGGTGGAGTTGTAAAAGAAAAAGATATAAAACATATAGATGTTGTGTGGCCCATCGACTTCTCCTTCTGCCCCTGTTTAACCCCCGCGGAACCGCCGTTGGGCACTACTTCGCGGGGAGAGGCTGGGCTGGTGCAGCAAGCTCATCACGTTTGCGCCGGTTGTTGTTGCGTCTTCTTCATGCCGCATCGTCCGGTCATCTTCTTCTGGCCATCTCTTCGACTCTCAGACTTGCTATGACTGAGTGAGCGAAGGAGGCTACCGCCGACCAGTTTTTTTCGTCTACCAGCATGAGCTGGACTATGTTTTCAGGCCTGGCAACTTCTTGGAGCTGGCGATGGAGCCTCTCTCTTTCCTCCTCGAATCGAGGACAGTTGAAGAAAACGTGCTCCGCGTTTTCGACCGTGTGGGGACAGGCTGGGCAATCTGCGCTAGCGTTGTGATCGTAGCGTTGGCTGTGGTGTTTGAAGTAGCCGTGGCCTGTCAGGAGCTGCGTGAGGTGGTAGTCCACCTCTCCGTGTCTCCTGTCCATCCACAATCTGATGTTCGGAATCAGCTTGTGCGTCCATCGTCCCTTCGTCGAGCTATCCCACTGGCTCTGCCATCTGCTCAACGTATCCTGGCGTTCTTCGGCTCTCGCGTCCTCGTGGCGGCGCTCGATACAAGGGCCATAAGTAACACTTTTTGGCACGGTGTAGTTTAGGGCCTGAGCGCAGCGAGGGTCCTAATAGCTGGGCTGAAAAGTGTCCCCTATGGCCCGAGTATCGAACAACATTTTATAGTACTGTGCAAAGTTCACATTTATGCCCCCTTTTCCGAGCCATGAGTCGCACTTCTGGTAGCGCGAAGTGAGGTTAGCGCACGAGCGTATGCGAGTGTGATGCGAACGCAGCGGTGCCAGAATGTGCGACTTATGCCATCGAAAAGCGTGCCATAAATGTGAACTTATGCCACATAGTGCTATGAAAAAATTTTTTTGGCCATTCGACTTCACAGAGAATCGACCATATACATATCTAGTGCAATTAGAGAAATAATATATCCTGGATTATAATATATAATGAATGGGAGAATAATATATTGTTATATGCTGCGCTATTATAACAGCAGCGCACACTTTTTGTTTATTTATGTAATATGTAAACAAGCCGCTAGGGGGCGAACTTGTAAAAACTCGTAACCCGAAAACGAACGGTGGCTGAAAATGCTTATTATTAACTTGACAGTCTTGACAGACTTGACACACAAATGTCCCAACGCCTTCTTTTTTGTTTAATTGATAAAACAAGTGATCTTTCAACAAGAATAGCGAAGGGTTTATTGCCCTTGCTTCTCTAACTGATAGATCAAATAAATTATCTGAAGATAATTTCTGATATCTATCAGCAAGTCAACGAGTGTCTTCGCCGATTTCATATACTCACTTTTAAACGCAGGCTGTAAGTAGCAAAAGAAATTAAATAAACTTTTATAGAATGTGTTTTCACGTGCTACGTAGTTCCTGTATGTTTCATAAGCTGTGATTAGTTCGTAAGTAGTTGTTGGCCAGGTAGCTGCTTGAGAGCGTCTAGTGAAAGATCAGCCACGATCCCAGACTTGGGGAGCCTCGGAGCACCAGCGAGCGTGCCAACTGAAGTGAGCTGCAACGCAAAAAATTGTGTCATAGGAAGTTGGCTGCATGATACGCGTTGAGCTAGCCGCCGAACGCGGTATTACAATCATTCAAAAAATGATTATTAATAAATTATGAGAAAAAATTGAATGAAAATTTTTGAAAAATTTTCAAAAATGCAGGAAAATGCAAACGCAAACTGACACCCACGTAGCCCAGCTCGAGTATATTATTTAAAAAATTAATCCGTAAACCAGAGCAGTAATCCACGTAGTCCTGCTCGTGAATCGTTGAAGTAATTAATCTACAAGACCCAAACTAACACCCACGTAGCCCAGCTCGGGTATATTATGTAAAAAATTGATCTGTAAACCAGAGCAGTAACCCACGTAGCCCAGCTCGTGTGTTATTTAAATAATTAATTTTGGAATGAAAACATCAAGGGTTTCATCAAGGGATTTTGATATCGGAACAATGTTTTTAAAAACTGTTTATTTTTACTTTATACAGTTATCATCATGATGCTAAGCGGAAAATCTGGTAAATATTTTTGATTCAACGAATTTCATAATTGCACTAGTCATAATTAAATAGCCTTATGTTTTTCAGACCGAGAAAAAACCAGACGCAACCTCGTTGACGAATTCACCTGTGTATACCGAATTACGAGCCATTGTATACAGAGTACAGAGAATAATGATTTTTTAATTGACTCGAATTTCTGGATAAAATTATTGAAGAATTACAAATTTTGATTAACATGAATAAGGTCGAGCGAGATTCATTATTGTAATTTTATTTATATTTTGCTGTGTCAATCCAACCGGTTGTTCTCTTTTTTTGTCTTTGACCTTCGTTTTTTGGTTGTAGAGGCTTTTCTTTTTCCTTTTGCTTGGCTTCCATTTCAGCTCTAGCCCTTGACTCCTCGAATTTAATATTGAACAATTTTTTAGCTTCTTTGTCATCTAAAAAAGAATTTGTTGTTGTTATTGTTATTTGTGGGTATTTGTT